GCCCACTTGTTTTCTCGGACATTCTTTTGGCAGAGAGAGAAGAAGTAAGACAACCTGTCTGAGTGTTCTGCCAGGGACTTCGCTATGCAGATTTCATTTGCCTGGAATGGCACTTGGGTACCATTTAGAGAGGTGCTCCAGTAGCTTCTGTGATTAAAAAAAAAAAAAAGAGAGCAAGAGAAAGAGAAAAAAAAAGGTCAATCTGTTGCACAAGTATCAGTCCTCTCAGGCTTTTCACTACCTCTTCTGCAGTAGAAACCTGCAGTTTTGTCCACTCTTAGACCAAGAACTAGGTTAGGTTCCAACAGCCTGGAGGCTTATTATGACTACTTCATCAGGGTGACTAGGATAGGACCCTACAGTGTGTACCCTTTGGGAGCCAATAAGATCAGAAGAAACAGTTATTTGTATGTAGCCTGGGTGTACCGGGGTATGTACTCCCTTCTCCAATTGAAGGGATTGTTAGCTGGCAAGAGTGCTGTGGGTGAAACTGCAGGCAGCACAAAGATTCCCTCCGTCCGTATAGAGTGATAACAACTGATTGAAGTGACATCAAAAGCAGCCCTTTTGGAAATGGAGCACTGTGCATCCCTTCATGTCAGAAAGTCAAGCAGACAGGGCCAAGGTATAAGACAAAAGCACAAAAGAATCTTACATTCATATTGCTTGATGAAGCTTCTGCTCCATATCCACAGGTCAGGTAAGTCCAGTTTTTTCCACTCTCTCTGTTGTGATGAACATCCTGCAAACTTCTGGTTGCTCCCCTGTTAGTAGTTGAGTCTTTCCCAGTCTCTCAGCTTTTTTTCACTGGGCAGCCTCTCCTAGTTCACCCAACCTCATCTCTTTGCCAAGAGTCTTCAAGTTCGTACATCTTCTTTGATCCTAGGCTTAACCTTAGGAAGAGTACCTCATTTTCACATAGAAAAGAGGCCAATATTGTCTTAACTCCATGTTTTCATGAAGTGTCAGCTGTCCTTTAATTTCTTGTTTATTGCCATTCCAGACTTCTAAGATTGTCTTAATTAGCACATGAAAACTAACAAGTGCCAAGCTAGATCTACTGAGGACTAAGGGAAATGGGAAAAGTAAACATTCAGCATCATTAGTACAACTTTGCTTCAACTGCAGTGATACTACAAGATCTCAAAGGGGACCGGTGTCATTTAAATACTTGGATTGGGTAGATGGGAGGTATGTAATAGATTGGGTAGATGGTTTTATTTAGTAAGCTGTTTGGTATCACAGCTGAGTGGGTTTAAAGGAGCTCTGTCAAAGAGAATAGACTGTACATTTGAAAGAGCTATCCAAATACACTGCAGGAGCCTGCTAAAATACAAAAAGAAACCCCCCTGCAATTGCAAACCCCTGGGAGTTATCTACCACCCCACAATGGAACCAATTGGAAGAATCACCAAACAACTACAGTCTGTATTTGACAAAGATCAGACCTTGAGAGAAATATCCCTAATCCCTCTGCTCCTGGTTTTCAAAAAGTCCCTAACCTTTCCCAACTCATTGTCACAAGCAAACTTTCCAGTGCCCAACAGACATCAAGTGGAACAGAGCTTTGCCTTGGCAGGAAATCCTTAACCTGTCAGCACACCTCTACTGCCACTACCGCCCTCCCCCCGCCCATCAACATCCGCCGTAAAAAACATGAGGATCTGCGGTTTTGACGCATGCCTTTCCCAAAATGTAATACCTGATCCAGTGCACCAAGTGCTGCCCTCATTGCAACTATGTGGGTGAGCCTAAACAGTAACTGTGCACCAGAATGAACTCTTGCAGAAAAAATATAAAGGATGGAGACATGCATACACCATTAGGAGCACATTTCTCGCAAAACAGTGACTCCCTCTCTAGCCTCACTGTCCTCGTGCTCCAGGGAAATCTACCTAACACCTTTAAAAGGCAAACTTGGGAGCAAACATTCATAAGCTGGCTGGACACTAAGAACCAAGGGCTAAACTTTGATATGGGTTTATGGCATGTTATAATTCATCCAACTCTTGAATTCTTTCCACACAAGGAAGGTGAGATTGACTCTCCTCCCTTTTGGTAGGCTTCTTTTCTTCTGCTAATTGAGTTTGCTACCCCTAGGCTTTTCTCGCAGTCCCTCCCCTCTGCTGCGCCTCATAATTCTGTGCCTGGATTCCTGTGATTCATCATTGCCAATCCCTCACAGTCAAGGATGATTGTCTTTTATGATTGCCTTCTCTGTTGGTCTGAAAGTGGATGACTAGATCTATTTGGGATCAAGAGGTTCTATTGCAACTCAGGCATGTGTTTCTGTATGGGGTGGGTGGCTTTTGGTTCAGTCTACAATACACTGTTTCTGCCACTCCCACTTTTCCATCTTCTGTTGTCATCATGAGGTTTCAAAGTATGGGGATCCTTGCAGCATACTCTTCCTCTACTTGTGGTGGCCCTGGTTGATAGTTTCCCACAAACTGACATCAATATTGTATTTTTAAGTTGGCTTTGAAGATATCCTTGAAGCGCTTTCTTTGTCCTTCTTTTGAGCATATGCTTTGAGCGATCTGGGAGAATAAAACTTGCTTCTGGATCATACATCTGGATGATGTGGCTAGCCCAATGAAGTTGATGTTGAATGATCATTACCTCAATGCTCATGGTGTTTTCTTGCGATAGGGCACTAACATTGGTATGTCTGTTTTCCCACTGGATTTAAAGGCTCTTCCACAGGCAGCATTGATGAGACTTGAGGTGTCTCCTGTATGTTGTGCACATCTCAGCTCCCTATAATAAGGTAGGGATCACAACTGCTCGATAAAACATGAGCTTGGTTTTGAATCTGATGTCATGCACTTTGAACTCCCATTTATTTTCCCTGTCATCCAAAGGGTGTCCTTGTGTACACATTGTGGGGCACATTGAGACGTGATGAAGAATGTCTTTTATTCAAAAGCTTGTCTAACTTTATCCCATCTATATTCTTGGTCCAGTAAAAGATATCAACCTAAGAAATTCTTGCCTTTTTCATAGCTTCTGGACCATCACAGCTACACTGTCACTCTTACATTACTAACCTAAAAAAGTCATAATTCTACTTTTTCTGGGGGTTTTTTTGACTGGTAGCTCTTTGGTGAGATGTCTTGGTGAAAATCTGTTAATCTAGTCAGATATTTACTAAGTTTGGGAGAAGTCTTCTGATGCGAATGTGTTGACAGAGACCAAAGGCTTCTTTTCTAAACTATTTAGGTTGTTTATATCAGATGGCTGATATGTACGTCTTCAAATTCTAATGGTAATTATTTTGGCCATCCATTCCTGTTTTAAAGCATATTCATCCTACCAAGGAAAGATAAATGCAAGCTTGAAAGGTTTTGCTAACGTTTGATAACACCATCTAGTTGTCCCATTGTTCTTTTTCACGGTATGCTCTTGAGCTACAAATTGTTCCAGAAGGATGCATCTGTCAGAGGGATTCTCCAGCACCAGTCTGTCACTGAGCTGTGAAATCAAGAAGGCAGCATGATTTTGTAAATTTGGAGCTGCTCACTTTGCATATCATTAAATGCAGTTGCTGCCTTTTAAAAATGTGCTGTTTTCTGGGGGAAATTACCCATGTAAGGCCCTTCTCTCTGTTTAACTTCTAAGATGTGTTCTTCAGGTGGAGCAGCAAGTTCAAGGGTCCCTGGTCCTCTAAGATGCTCTGTGTCAACTCCACATAACTTGGTTTGAAGGACACTGAAGAAAGCAAGTCATAGGAAAGGCAAGTGGGATCTGTCCATATGTGGCTCTTGTGGTCCCAGAACAGTAGAGCAAAGTAGCTGAAGTAAAGATATGTTTACAGTGGCTGCATTATAACTCTGCTTCTGAGGGTCAGGTTGAGGAGACAGGCTTACAGTTAAATTCCATAGTGCTTTATGCATTATAAAGACATAGATAAATCATAGAATTCTAGAAATTAAGGATGGAAGGGACTTTAGGATCATCTAATCTGCCCTCTTCCCTCAGTGCTACATCAACTATAGCTATGTCATCCCTGACAGATCTTTTTTTAACCTGTTCTTACAACTCCCTAATGTTGGAGATTCCATAGCCGTCTTGGATAACTTGTTCTGCTGCTTCTGCAGACGTACAGCAGCGATTCTCTACCAGGGTACTGTGGTTGAAATCCTTTCAAGGGTATCATGAAGTGTTAGCAGCACTGCTAGGTGCACAAACATGATTCACAAGATGAACCCAAAAATTTCAAATAGGAATTCACGGTATTAAAAATATTCTGAATTACTGTGGTATTTTGGAGTTCTTTGCAACAGAGGAATTGCTCTATTCTTTTTCAGTAGTCAAAAAAGAAGTGAAAACTAAGAGGTGGAATTTTCTGAAGGGTGCTTGTAGTCTATTGAGGGACACCTTTAGTCTAAAAATGAGAACCATTGCCTTACAGTCTGTAAGATTTTTCCAGTTCGTAAGATTTTTCCTAATGTCTAATCTTAATGTTCCTTGCTGCAATTAAAGCCCTTTACTACTTGTCTTGTTCCCAGTGGACACAGTTTACTTTAGTTTATGTTTCGCTACAGTCATCTTGGTTTAGGGAATTTTTGTAAACTACTTGAATTCTCCCTCTCTTCTTTGTTATGTATCTGAGCTCGCAGACTTGTGCCTGAATAATGCAGTTCATATCTGCAGTATTAAACACTGTGTGCATTGGATAGCTGCAGTATTAAACATTGGCACAATTTAGCGAGGCTTACAGAGCAATTTTTTACATTTATATTAAAAAATGTATTTTTATGAAGAGAGAATTGACTCCATAGCTTTATGGTTTCTAACTATCCAAGCTGAACTGAAGCACCACGGAGAATATACAAGGAGAAGGGAAGTTGGGAAAAAAAACCCAGCACAGCACTAGGGCAGGCTTTGTGCCTGCGCCTGTGTGCATGTTCAGTGGCGGGGGGAGCACGGGGACAGTGAAACTTAAACTCCTCCTGCAGATCTGCATCTGCTGTGAGTCATTGCTATGACTCACATTGTCAGCGTTCACTTTAGCTAGCATTCAAATGGAGCAGCTCTGGCAGTGGAAGAAGCAGGCTAGTATTGATTACCTGCTGCAGCAGACCATTGTGCCAAGATTATTTTTTTGCAGCCATTGCTGAAACTCAGGAGGCTCTGCTGAACAACATCAGGTTATTTTCCTATTTTTTTAAAAGAAAAGGTAAGAAAGCCTGTTGTTCATTAGAGGGGAAGGGTGACGAGTAGCTTATGAAGGTTGAGTTTTATACTGCATTGCTTATCCTCAGAAGATGCTGGTCCTTGCAACCTTGTTATTGCTATGCATCATTTGTGCTGCTTGAAACAACACACAGAATCATATGGGTAATGGGCGGTGCATGCACTATGAAACAACATAATGATGCTCTCATTGACTGGTACATCCTATGTTATGTAATGCATGGCAGCCATGTTAAGGGTAGAGGACCTCTTTCAATGAAGCAGAGCTATTGTAGGTATCAGGACACCAAAACAGCTGGGAGTTTTAATATGGTGCTCTGTCTATCATCTGGAAAGCGCAGCATTTCTAGGGTCCGTGGATTAAAAGCACACTGCTCACTTCTGAATTCCTGCCGTTCCAGAATCAAAAATGGCATTGCCAGGATCACTGTAAATGTCTTTTACATTTAAAATCACATTGTGACTCTGCCTGTAATGTTCCGGCTGGGTTTGCGTGTTGTTGGGTGAGATTTGTTTGTTACTGTCTCCCTTGTAAACATTGTTCAGGTTAATTTGTTTGCTTCCCATGCTTAATATCCCAGCTGCTGTTGTTTCCTGTCTGCGGCTCTAATAACACATATTTCCAGGATAGAATTGCTCCAGCTGTTGGTTATGTCAGAAGAATGGGAGATTGTCCTGTTCACGGTTCTGAGATTAAGGACCTGGCTTCCATTACCTCAGATATATGAAGTGATGAAAGTTATTTTATATTTTTAAGTTGTCATTTCTCCTGGAATTATAAAATCTTGATATTAGCAACACTGCTAAGAATCCTCATATAGTATCCTACCAAGTTTTTAATCTTTGCTGTATGTGTAACCAGTTACTATATTTTACAGTATTAATCTTCTGCTTTTCAATTCTAGTAATTTAACTTCATTTTGTATTTTTTTGGTGTTTTTATGCATGCATTTTGGATTTAGTTTATGCCCTACAATGACATTGGCAATTGTTCTAAATAACCTAGTGTAGCCTAATCTGTTCTGTAATACTTCATTAATCTGAGAAAGAGAGATTTAGAAAGCTGGGTGTTCATTGGCTTGCTTTTTGACTGTAGGAGAATATCACTAATATCCACATGGTATAGTTTGCACAAAAATGACATTTTTCTTTATACCTCAAAGAAATAGTGGCTGTAGTGAGGTCTCGTGTTATTACTAAGGCTGTTTTTATGAAAGATGCCAGGCTTTGTCTGTGTATCATGAAGCATTAAAAGCTATGTCCGTAAAGTACTTTTGGGGGTATGTTAGCCTTTATTTTCCCATTGAACAATGCCTTGCTTGCTGTTTAACAATATTAATTGATCAAGTTTCTTTCTTGTTTCATATAATTTTTTATGACAAGTAAGCCTTGCACATTTTTTATAGAAATGAAAAAGCTGCTTTCAGTGCACTTGAAATAGTTAGAGCTCAGGTGGCATCAGTATGAGAAAGCTGTAGTTTGAGAATTGCTTTTGGAAAGTTCAGCTCTTAGATTCCCTTCTCCCAGAGTTAGATTTCATTAAGTGAGCAATTTAATCATTTTAGGAGCATTTTTATGCACTTGAAATACTCCTCTGTGTGTAATATTATAAATGCAGGCTAATTTATCCATTGTCAGGGTGACCATGATTCCTCAGTAATGAAACCTACTGCTATCCCACTGCATGGTGGAAATGAATATCTGAACTGATTAAAATAAAGCATTCCAATTTTTCCACTGATTTGATTATTTTTGAGCCAATGTTGTATGCACTGAGGTATAAGACCTACATTTCTCCACGTTATGGTGTGTATGTACCTGTGCATGTGCCTTTTCGTATATTTGAATATTTAAATGTCTATGAGCATGTAAAGTATACATCTTTTAGAATTTCAATTTGTAAATGAAGTAAAAAAATGGTAATGTGGTTGTTTTCAGCTGGGGTTGTATAATCTATTAATACAATTCAGACCTGGTTAAATCATGAAAATGAAGTGAAAATACATACTTGAGAGGAACAAAATAGTTTTTTCTGAATGGATACATGGTTGGATGCAGCCTCCCCACTTCTTGCCCTGTTGCTGAGGTGCAACAGAGTCCTGTATTAACTCTAGGACCATTTACTGCTTTTTCTCATTAATGGATTTGGTGTAATACCCCTAGATTCAAAAGAACAGTTTAAAAAGAATGACAGAAAACCCCTGCAGGGCACCTGGGCAGTGGGTGTAATGAGAATTGAAAATCTACTAAACATAGAAAGAAAGAGTTACTGAGACACAAGTGTCATTAGGGCTGGAGTCTGATAGCTTTATTGCCATCTTCAAGGCATATTAATATGTTTGTAACTAGGAAGTTAATTATTTAGTTACAAATGTTTTATACATTTTCATACCACAGTCTTAGAAGAATTAAACAACAACAACATCTTCTGTTGGCATGGAGAAGAGAGCTGCATCTGATGTTTCTGAAGCCAAGATGTATTGTAAACATAACTGATTTGGTTAAATAAATGCCATCTGCCATGTGACTGCAGGCCTGAGCTAGAGCTCATTGAAATTAGCCTTTGTGCTGACTTCCATTCAGCTTTGCATCCAGCCTTAAAGGAGGCTTAAGGGACCATTTCACTCATTCTTTCAGCAGGAGTTGTTTGGTGTCTCTCTGAGGTCATTGCTTAGAGTGGAGTACATGAGGCTGGAAGTTCTTTCCTGAAGCTTATCACTTATTTCACAGTGAACCCAATAGAGGTGACCTCTTAAGTAATAAAAGGATTAAACAAAGAGGGCAATACTGGGTATGAATGAGCAGAGTTGGTAGGGAAGACACTTGGAAAGCACACTGCACCCTTCCCCTCCTTGCAGAAGTCTCCAAAGAATTTTTGTGTTTACACACAAAGTTGAACATTTTTCTCCTTCTGTCTAACTTCAGACTCTTTTAGTCTGTTCCCCTAACCTACCTCTTCCTTTTGTTTTAGTGTTTGTACCCTCCCCCCTCTCTCTCTCTTCTTTCTCTTCTTTAAAAATGCACCGGTATCATCTGTCCCTTCCCATCCTTCAAAGCATTATTATAACAAGCCCACTTTGACTTTGCTGGACTCTCAAACTGCCATTCTATCTTTGGCCCAAACTACTAGAGCCCTTCAGCAGTTCCTGTTCCCTCCTCCAGCCATTTTGCTTACCATACCACAGTCAGCCCCGGCTCTAGGCAGCTGCCGCTGGCCATACCACCCAGGCTGCTCACAGGGCTTTCAGCTCTCCAGCCACCTGCTGCGTGCAGCCCAGGCTCTGTGGCCAGCAGCCACAGCTGCAAACAGCTGCTCCAGGCTCCAAAGCACCTCTTTGGGTGGGATAGCAGGGGAAGGATCTGGGGCAGCACGACCCCAACCCCTCCACTGCTTTCCAGCCAGAGGCACGTGTGCAGCCACTGTTGCCACAGAGCAGTGCCAGTGCTCCTGAGCCTGGAGCAGCTGTTTGCAGTTTGCCAGCTCCCTGTTGCAACTGCCCAGGGCAGCTGGCTGTGGCAGGTAGCCAGAAAGCTGCAAACAGCTGCATTGGGCTCCTCAGCCCTTGGCTGGGTTCCTTAGTGGTGGCGGCTGCTTGCCCACCTCCAAGCAGATGGCAGGGGAGGGTCTGGGGTTGTGCTACCCCAGACACCTCTCCTGCCGTCCACCCACACGTGTACGTGAAGCCGTCACAGAGCCTTGCATCCAGTTATTTTCTGGAGATAAAAAGTTATTTGTTTTGTTGTTGCAGATTTTTTTGGTTTCCAAATAATCCTACCTGTTTGTATTGGAATTATTCCCTGGGTTTTAAAAGAAAGGGAAAAACTGCTGCTCAAGCATTGTCATTTTTAGTTCCCCACTGTATTCTGGAAGAACTTAAATCAGGGGTAGGCAACCGCCAGCACAGGTACCAGAGTGTGGCACTTGAAGGCATTTTGCTTGGCACACGAGTCTTGGGGTGGATGGTGGGAAAGGGGCTTGGGCGGTGCTGCCCCAGCAGTGCAGCCCCTTGTGGCTTCCCCACCATTCGCCCCTGGCATGCCATATCTTATAAATCAAAGTTGCAGATACTTTTGTCACTCTGCCCAAAAATGTTTCTGACCCCTGACCTAAATCATCACTGCCCTGAGACCTGGCACTGGCTGCAAATTTTAAGGCAGGAGTAAGGCCTCAGCTGTCACTTTGAATAAGCAGAGTAGGAACGACTCTGTTAGGTGTAGAATTAGTTCTGTTGTATCTCTACTCTTGTCTGCAGGAGTGCCCAGCACAGGAGTTGTTTTAGGGAGTCAGAGTGGTGGCAGCTGATAGGCATAATTGGCTAGACCTATGCCTGTTTTTTCTTGCAGCGCTCAAGCAACAGGGGTACAGAAACTGAGACCCTGCTTAACTCGCAACATTTCCTCTGTCCTTGTGTTCGTGTCAGCTCCATGTGTTCAGGTTAAATGAGAATAGGGATCTCAGTATGATGATACATTATTTCTGTGCTGAATGTTCCCTCTCAGGCTTCCTTTCAGTTTGGTACTTCATCTTTTAAAGCAGCAGAATGCTTCTTGAATTTGCTGTTCAGGCTTCAAGGGACGATAGTGAACTGGTTAAGTACAAAGTTGTACATGATTGGGAGGTGACTTTATATGTAGGGGCGCGCCGATACTGATAGCCTATTATTAATTGGTCATATAGGCCGATACCGATCCAATAGCCAACTTGCAGGAATGCAGCCGGGCAGCTTGGAGAGCAGACTCCTGCCGGTAAGTCTGTGGGGGGAGGGGGTGTGGGGAACACAAGGGGCGTCGTGGGGGCAGATGGAGGCCCCCACAGAGAGGGAGGGAGTGGGGCTGGGGCAGGAACTGCCAAGCCAGGGTGGTGAATGTGACCCTGATGCCAGAAGTGGGACAGAGCCATGGGCAGTTTGTCCAGCTGGTGTGGGGGAGTGAGGATGGGGGGCTGCTCCCTGCCACTGCGTGTACCCCTGGGGGAGGCATGGG